GGGGGGGGGAATCACAGTTATCATAAACTTTTTGGGCTATGCTCAGGAGTTCAGTCCTATTCTTTCCCTCAAATCCCTCCAATTTTTGTAATTCTTTTAATGCCTGGGGAAGACTGGGAAACAAAGGCCAGATTTAAAGCTGCTGCATTTTTGGGAGCCTCTGGGTCAATAGGCTTCCAAGAGTCTCTCCCAAAATGCAGCCGGAGACTCTGTTTTTTCCTGGTGAACCTCACTTAGCTTACTCAAATAAGTGGGCTTTCTGGCCACTGCCCGGAGTCCCCCTAATAAGTGCTGGCAGTAGGTCCCCAGCCTCCTCTTACCGTCATCATCATTGGGGTCCCATTTGGGGTGTCGTGATGGAACTGTTTCAGCCTCGGCCGAATGCCCCGGAGGAGTTCCGGGAGTGATGCCGGGTTTTGGCCCCAGGGCCTCTTTGACTGTCTGTTGATAAATGCGTCCCGTTTCTCAGTGGTGAATAGGATCTGTAAAAGCTGCTGGCAATCATCCCAGGTTGGCTGATGGGTATGAAAAACAGACTCAAGAAGAGATTAATGCCTGAGGTTTTTCAGAGAAGGGGGGATTTTGATGTGTCCAATTATAAAGATCACTAGTTGTAAAAGGGACATAAATCAATCCTCCCCTGGGCTCTGTCTGTTTTAAAGGAAAAAGGGAGGAGGAAGACGGGACTGATGGACCATAGTCTAGTCCCAATCGAGTGCCAAAGGTCGATCAGGACCTGTGGGGCCCCGACTCCTGTGACCACATTTTAAACCTTGTGAGCAATGTGTACAGAATAAATTCCCACCGGGGGCCAACTGACTCCGAAACTTGGCCATTTTGATTGACACAGAGTTTGCAATTTGCCTTTGGAAAATTTCATGTCACATTTATCTTTTCTGTCTGTGGAATAAATTTTTTTGAAGTTATTTAAAACACAATCAAGTGGAGTTCCTTCTGTGGACTGTGAGGAACCCATAATTTTGGCCTGTGAAAATGCAAAAGGCACACAGAACAAGCAGACAGACAACAATAAACAAAGACAAACTTTGGCCACATAAACTTCTGGGGCTGAATGGATTTGGACCCCACCCAGGGAGTCACTCTTCTGAGGGCTCCGACCATCGCAAAGAGACTCTAGATAGGGGAACCTGTGCCACGTCTGGCTTCCTCCTACTTACCCACAGTGCACTAAGAATCATTCGATTTTTACCTCTAGAGTCTTTCCCAATAAACTCCTGCGGGTCTGTTGATCGGTGATAGGCCCCCCGGAGTCCCGGAATACCGTCAGGGTGGCCTCTCCTTCTGCAGACCGGTGTCCAGAGGGGCCAAACACCTCCGATGTCCGATCCTGGTCTCTCCTAAAAAGAAACAATGGCTCCAAGATAATAAGCTCCAGAGCAGTTGGCTATCTCGCTGGGGCCTCCAAGAATGTTACACCCAGTGAGAGAGAACCAACCAGAGACCGATATTAAATCCACACAGGAGTTTATTACCGGCCAGGACCCGAGCCGAGCATCCATTGGACTGGAGCCCTGACTGGGGGTTGACAAACATGTTTTATACACCTTTGAGGCCAGCAGTTTCTAGCCCCCCCCCATGGGATAGAACTAGTAAAGCAAGCAAAAGGTACAGAAGCAGAATGTCCTGCCGTTAGAACATTTGTAAAACAATAGTTGATTGTTATTTCTAAAGAGACTTTCTAAGGGGAGGAGGTTTTTAGCTTCCTCCTTCTGAGTTCATCTAAAGGGCAGGCAGGTGGGTCAAGCAGCAATATGGAGTCTGTCTTGCTAACTAGGGTCCTTCAGAAACCATCTCAAGCTGATACAGGGGGAATGGATGTAACTCCCAAGCCTACTAGATATCCAAAACATGAGTTCCTGTTCTCTAAAATGAAAGGATGAATTCTAGGAACAATGGAAGTTAAGAGTAGGAAAAACTTATTGAGAGAAAAAGACAGCTTCTAAGAGAGACAGAAGGGGGACTGGAAAATGGGTTACTCACTCACTCTGCTTCTCAAAGGTGTTTTATGGGACAAAGCCATGAGGTGAGGCGGGTTTAAGGTGGGACAAAACTATAGTCAACTAATAAGATTACAAGTACAGCCGTTTAGGTAATACTAATCCAATGATAAATCACAAATTGGACAAAACTATGAACAACCAATAAGATTGTGACAAGTATACTGGCTTAGGTAATATTGACTAATGGGGATCCGATGGGGAAGCAAGTCACATAGGGAGCTTACAAAGATTTTTCAGTGGGGCCAGAGATTTAGCTCAGTGGTTTTGCTGCCTGCTGAGCAAGCGCAAGGACCCAAGTTTGATCCCTGATACCAAAAACAAAAGAAAAAAAAATGAATTTTAGGCCAGGGATTTAGCTCAGTGGTTCCACCACCTGCCTCAAAAGCACAAGGTCCCAAGTTCGATCCCTGGTACCAAAAAAAAAAAAAAAAGATTTTCAGTAAGGGCAAGTCAAGGCTCTTTCCTGGAAAGGGTGGGTTAAAACCTTGGCCCCCCACCCGGGTGATTGATACCTATTTAGAGTATCAATCACTGCTATTCATCCTTCGGAGAAGTGCACCCTGTGGGTGTGGTAGTTTCTCTTTTACAGTGCGGACCTTCAGTGAATGTGTCTTGATTGTCCTCCATGTTGGCTCCTCAGGCTCAGCCCTGTCTAACTGCCTAAAAGGTATCTAGTTAACTTATCTATCTACTGTACTATCTCAAAACATAAAATAAAAAAAGGGCTGGAGATGTAGTTCAGTGTAAAGGCCCTGGGTTTAATCCCCAGTACCACCCCTCCAAACAAAAAATTCTCAAACCACCTCTTCCACAAGGTGCACCCCACATTCCAGTAACTGCTCCCTGGGCTTGACTCACAGCTATAAATCAACTGCTAGCATGGGCAACTGATTGGATTCCTTTACTTAAGAGTGAGAACAACTATTTGAGAGTTTCACCATTCAGTTTTAGAAAGTATCTTGTTTCCCATTTGATAAATACCCTGGAAACTGTTGGGGATTAACTAGGCTACATAACTCAGACCTTACATTCTCGAGGTGGGTGTTATCTTTCTTCAGGAACAGGGAAGTAGTGGAAGGCTGCTTGCTCTGCCCCATGGGTGGAATGCCAATAACCTGGCACCCCTGAGGCAAGACAGCATTTGCTGAGGACAGTTGTCAATATTCTGGCATTTGGGTGTAGAGAAAAATCTGGTTCCTAGTTAACTTAATCCTTATCCACCTATTCTCCACAGTTGCTGTTTCTTGAAACAGCATGCTACCCCTCTTCTTGCGCTTCTCACTGGCTAATAAAAGTGGGCCAAAGCAGAGTTTTATTCAAATCTGTCAGCTAGAAGCAAGTCTTCTCTCACTTCCCCTTTTATGTCTTGAAAATTGTCTCTTTTTATTCCTCATCATTCCCTCCAAAAGGTAGCTGAAGGTCTGATCATCCTTCAGTAGGAAACTACCCAAGAGACCAAATGAAGCTTTAAATTCCAAAATTTTAATTGAAATCAAGAAGCCTTTCACCTGATGTATACTCACATACCCAGAATGTCATTTCATAAGCAAGCATTGCTGGCACATTATATATCATATTTAGGCTCCAATTAATGACATCATTCTGTTCCTCAGATCCACAACTAATTCCCACGAGAGATGTTTAAATATATAACCATCTTTGCATCATATCAAATGATATGATATATGTAGTTAAGTTGTAAGCTTTTTAAAACAGCTATATTGTATACTGGCATACTCAATACAACAATAAAAATTTTTTTAAATCTTCCGTTATCTCAATTATTTCTGCTTCATCATCAGAATACAATAAAAATATTTGAAAGTTTCATCACCTAGTTGTACTTCATGAGCTGTCCTTTGTCGATGTTGAATGAGAATTCAAATGACTAGGAAGAGGAGTGATGGAGGAAACACTGTTCCCTACCTCTACAGAACCATGGACCACCAGTGGACATGGGGGAGGGCTCCGAAGCAAAGGGCTGGCCTCAGCTTGATTTGGACAGCAGTGATTTGTAGGCAAGCCAGTCAATGGGGAGAAAGATGAACAAAGTTGCAAATCCCCAAGATGAACATGAGTTTTTCTAGGCTTTAGAAATAGTATCTTTTACTTGGATGTCCCTAAAAAAAAAAAAAAGGAAAACAAAACCAAAAGACACCTCCCCAAATGTTTGGTATTAAGAATCTCTTGGGCTGGGGATTTAGCTCAGTGGTTTCACCGCCTGCTGTGCAAGCACAAGGACTGGAGTTCGATCCCCAGTACCAAAAAAAAAAAAAAAAAAAGAAATGTTCACTATGTAATTGGGACCGCTTATTGGAAAATGTAAGCAAAGCAGTCATCAGCCAGGGTCCAACAGTAAGGTGTCTTGAAGCAAAGCCCAAGGCTACCAGGCAGCAGTTGTAAGCAGAACACAACAGAGTCCCTAGAACGAGATTCAGATGAATGCCTAATCCCAAAGAGACAATCTTATATCTCTGGGTGAAGAGAAAAATTCATTAAATCTGCTTTTTAGACATATTAACATGTGACCTATGGCATTTGTGAAAGCGAAGAAAACAGTGGCCAAAGCAGAACACATTGAGTATAAGATGCTAATTGCTCTTCCACTGGTGGTTGCAGTTTCCCTTCATCTGACTTTAAGTGTTCTCTCATCAGAGGGGATCTTTTAATTTCTTTTGAATGAACATCAGTGAGCTGCCCTCCCATGCAAGAGCCAACTTTTGGCTGAGTACATGTGGGAACGTGAGGCCATAATGCAAAACCAACGGAAAAGACAATCTGCTTTAGCAGCATTCCAACTTAGTGTTCTAACAGGGAAGAATTAACAGCAGCATCATGTCCCTCTGCTGCCCCATCATCACCTGACAGCAAAATGGTAGGGATGGTATTTCACTGTGTGCGAGAGATGCCAACTACCTATAATTCACCCAAAGTTCTGAATACTATAGGAAGGAAAAAACCCTTCACTGCCAGTTCATAAATGTACTGCTACTTGGATGTGACCAATGCCCAGTTGCTGAGATGTGAGGTCTTGGATTCTGGGACAGGTATGGGTCTTCTTTTCACTATTTCCTGGTCTCTCCTCCCAACACCCTAAATAACTACCTGTCCTTACCTCAAAAATAGTGATACAGGGCCCGGGGATTTAGCTCAGTGGTTCTGCCGCCTGCCTTGGAAGCACAAGGACCCAAGTTCGATCCCCAGTACCAAAAAAAAAAAAATACTGATACAAAGGCTCCTTTAGCAACAAACAGACCTATGGATACAAGGTCGTCTATGCTAGGAAAGTACAGTATTACCCTTTGAAATGGGTCTAAATTTACAAATTTTATTTATTCCAAAAATACATAGAAATGAAAACCCGCTCTTCAAATGCAGGGAGGCCCATGTGGTATTATATTTTTATCACAAAACATATGAAAATCAGTATGCAGCTCTTTTACATAGTATATACACACATATGTGTATATATACATATATTTTACGTAAGTAGTTAATACTTTTCTACTTACATACTGTCCTACAGTGAAAAACTAGAAAACGGGAGAATCCCCTTGCTTTCCAGCCTTGGGAGGTAAATACCTCTCTGAACAATTTTTTAAAGATGAGATGTGTAAGCTACACAGCCTCCTTTTAGACATATATACATGTTGTTAGACTAAAGCAAGGACCCTGTCAGGTGACAGTGTATTTCTCAAAGAAAGAAAAAAAATAAATGTTTGAATAAAAATGGAAAACCGAAGAACAAACAAGATGATCAAAATTGTTATGTACATGTTCCACAGAGAAATCAGAAATTTTCTCATAGGAAACAGATCCACAACCCATTTCAGCCTCTCATATTGAGTGAGCACCTGTTGGTATTAGCCAAGATCTTCTTATACAGTCAAGTGCTTCAGCAGGTCCTATAAAGCATCTGTTTAACAGTCAATAATGAGGTCATGTGGTAGCCCGCCCCCCAAAAAAAAACCCTAAACAAAAAGTATACACTAAGTGCAAAATCAATTTGACTCAAGAGCTCAACCAGGTTGAAGCTTTGGTATGTTGGAGGGTGTTCTGGTGACCACCAAAGCTTAGTAAAATTCTCTGCTCAGGGGTTTCCCCCTCAAAAACAAAAACTCTTGATCCACAAAGCTTAACAACTATATAAATAAAGTAACTGTACAAAAAGAACAAGCCACACTTCTCCTTTAAGCAAAGGTTTAGTTTCCTCAGTAGCAGATGTGAAAAAAATACCCACAGGCATGTGGCTGATGTGCCACAGAAAAAGTTGAACAAACGTAAGTCAGTGTTCTTCAACTGTAACGTAAGCTGGTCAGCAACAGAAGAAAGACTTAAGGCAGTAAGAGGCATTACAGAGAGCAGCACAGTGCTCTTTGAGTCAATCTCAAAGCATTCCAAGAAGGAAAAGGTATCTCAGTAGTTCTGGTTCTTAATTTGCTAGCTGTCAGAAACTGCTTCCTCCTCATAGTCATCCTCATCTTCCTTCCTGTCTAGTTCAGAGGTATCCGATGACTCGTGTAGTAGGACATACTCTCTACTGCTGAACCCAAATTTAAGTACATCCTTTTCTTTTAGTTCATAGTATCTCTGTGGCTCAATACGCTTGTTATTCAAGAAAGTTCCATTGCCTGAGCCCAAGTCAATGATGTAGGGCTTCACCCTTCGGCCAACAGTACCATCAGCACGAGTATATTCCACAAGCCTAGAGAGATAAAGAAGAGAAGTAGTGAGCAAAATCCTCCCTCAGATATCTAGCCTTCTCTAACTAAAGTCTATACACAGCCTAGATAATGTAAGTAATCTGACTTGAACATAATTCAAGTTAAAACTAGGAAATCAACAGGAAAACACTGCTGGAGAGGAAAACTGGGAGTACCATAGTTTAAATACACTCACTAGAAATGGTAATTAAAAAACTGGCTGCTAAAGGGACGGAATGAATCCATGGTAGATCAAAAGCTTGAAATGCAAAATTCAGCCCTCTTGGCAAACCTGCTGTGTATCATCAATAAACGTTTTTTTGCCTATATTTGAAAATATTTTAGCTCCATTCCAAATGGGAAAAGAGTGGACTTGGACTGCAGAGTCAAGGAGCTAGATCTGAGCCAGAGTTCTGGTATGCTGATCATTTATTAGGCAAGTCACCTGGCTCTGAGCTTTGGTTCTCTCTTATGTCAAAGAGGAATATTAACACTGGTCATATATTCCTCATGGGAGCGTTCTAAGGGCCACATAGTAACAGATATACTATGTGGGCCGGGGATTTAGCTCAGTGGTTCCAGCACCTGCCTCGCAAGCGCAAGGTCCCGAGTTCGATCCCTAGTACCAAAAAAAACGACACACACACAGATATACTATGTAAGCTAGGCAGGTGCAGATTCAGCTACCATGTATGCCAGGCATTTTCAGTTGTATTTCCATTAACTTTCATAGCAGCCCTGTGAGGCAGGTGGAAATAGGCCCTGATAGTGGCTGTCTCGGCATCAAACACTTGGAAAAGAGCAATGGCAGAATTCAAAATCTGGGTTTCTGACGCCAAGTTCAACGCTCTTATACAAATAACTGATTGACAGACGTGGTGGCACACACCTGTAACCTCAACACTTCAGAGGCTGAAGCAGGAGGATCAGTTCAAGGCAAGCCTGCGCTACATAGTGCATTCAAGGTTTAGCTTGAACTACATAAGACACTGTCTCAAAAAAAAAAAAAAAAATCTAATCTTAGATGTGACAGGTATGGGATTCTGCGTATACACTGGTATGTTGGGTCACAAACACTTTTGTTTGTGAACAATTTGGTTTGCAAACAGAAGCATTTGGCAAAATTTTGTTTTTGCCTGTGAACTCTGCATTGGGTGATGAACATGACTGCGGCCATGTTTCCCACACGAACATGAAGGTGGGCATCTTTTCCAGAATTGTGGAACAAATTAAGTTCATGAATTGAGGTACCACTGTACATATAAGCAAATATCAGTAATCCTAACTAAGACATTCAGTGTCTGCTAGTGTTTCAGATGCTTCCTGCACAGATATACATACCGATACTGAAAGACTGCATGCTGCTTTGAACACGATGGATGATCAATGGGAATGTCTGCGATGCGCCGGTGCCGGCCCAAAAGGTAAGCACTTTGTCGATGGATGTACATAACAGGGAGTACCTCATCATTTTTAAACGGATAGAGACGCCACCTTTTTTTGGGGATACGAGCTTCTGGGGGCTCACTGTACTTAATGACTACACCCCGGAAGGTGTTAGTGTCCTCAAGAAGAGCCCCAGAGAGCTCAAAGCTTGGTTTTTCTTTAACAGGCACCTCTTTGTCTTTATTGTTGCCACCAGGCCGACGCACCAACTCCTGAGCACCACTACCACTTCCGCTGCCTTCACTCTTCTGGCGGTGCTCCCGTCGCCTGGCATTGTAGAACTCCCGCTCTTCTTCCTGAGCCTGCAGGTTCTGGCTGTCTCGCTCCCGTTCCTGAGGTGGCCCACTCCCAGGCCTCTCACCAGAGCTTTTCCTTTGGCGAGAATGGCCCCGGTGTCTGTCTCGGTCACTGTTGTGACCCCTCCTGTGTTCCTGATTGGATGGTTCTCGGTGCTGCCGATTCTCCCGTCCTCTCCAGGGATGATCCTCATGTTCCTGAAATCCAAACAAACTCAGGACATGAAGCCACCCACCATCTATGAACAAGCTACATTTGAGTCATTGGGGATCTGGATTTTAGCATTCAGGACAGAATTTCCCACAAATGCAAGGTAATCAATCTGTGGTAGTTATGTTCCCTCACAAGGCCACTAAGATTATGTGCTATGCTGCTACTTATCTATAGGTCTAACAGCACGAGCTCATTTCCAGACTGCATAAAAACTGATACAGAAAGAAAAAAAAATACCCTCCTTTTCAGAATATGTATAAACCACAGACAAATTTACAAAGAAGTATAAAGAGAAAACAGAACAAAGGATGTTAAGTAGTTACATATTAAATACATAAAGACAAAAGCTAGCATTCTCGTATGCCAAAAATAAAACCACAACTTTTTTTTTTTGAGACAGGGTTTTGCTAAGTAATCCATGCTGGCAATGAACTCACTATGCAGCCCAGGGTGACCTTGAACTGGCAATCCCCCTGCTTCAGCCTCTTGGGTGCTGGAATCACGGGCATGTACCACCACTCCTGGCTTCATAATAGTAATTCTGAACAGTAATAAAAATTATTTAAAGCTAGGATAAATTTAGAAACATGATCCCCATCTTTCGGAAGATCTACTTGTAAGTTTGGTCCTTGGTTGGGATCTGAGAACTTGGATTTGGGGAGGGTTCCGTGTCTAGAGTTTCTCATTGCGTCTCAACTGTCAAATAATATGGCTTATGCAGAACACTTATTTTCTTTTGGGGAACCTGGAATTTGGGTACATGGAAGGCATGGGGTTCCTGTGCAACAAACTGCTAATAAAGATCGTGGACACTGAGTTTCTTTAAAAAAAAAACAAACAAAAAAACAAAAAAAAAATCCCATGACAGCCAGTACCACAACAAAAACATTAGAAGACATAAGAAACCTGGAGCTGGGTACAGTGGTTCATGCCTGTAATTCTAGCACTCTGGAAGGCCGAGGCAGGAGGATCACCAGCTGGAGGCCAGGCTAGGCAACCTAGCAAGATTGTCTCAAAACTACTTAGAACAGGAGGGCCTGGGATTTAGCTCAGTGCTGCCGGTACCTGCCTTGCAACTCCAAGGTCCCAGGTTTGATCCCAGTACCAAAAAAAAAAACAAAACAAATTTCAGAAAAGGGATAGGGAAAAGCTCCGTGCAAAGTCCCTGGGTTCAATCTCCAGTACTACTGGGGGAAGGGGCTGTAAAAATTTATTCATAATTTTTCTTTCTTTTTAAAAAATTTTTTAAGACATAGTTTTGCTATGTAGCCCAGACTGGCCTTGAATTCATAATCCTCCTGCCCCAGCCTCTTGAGTGCTGGGGTTATAGGTGTGAACCACCATGTCCAGTGACATTTTTTAAAAGACCTGAAAAAAATGGAGAAGTATATCATCATTTCTTGAAAAATAATGCTTTGAAAGTCAGCCTGGTAGAAAAACTTTCATATTATATAGCAGTAAGAAAATAAATTGTAAGACAAATAATTCAATAGAAAAATAATCAAAAGACATTAACAAGCAATTTTCAGAAGAAATAAGTCTAATAAATACCCAAACAGAAGTTTACTCTCACTAATAATCAAAGCAATATGTAGATCTTAAATTTCAATCCTGATTTGAACAGTAAAACTTACATAGAAGCCAGTCAGAGAAATATGGACACTGACTAGATATTTCATGTCAGAGGATTATATCAAATTTACGCTAGGGATGTAGCTCAGTGGTAGAGTATGCACTCAGGATTGCTGGACGCCCTGGATTCAATTCCCAGCACCAAATAAAATTTAAGTGATCTCATACCCATTAGGATAGCTACTATTAAAAAATAGGAAATAGGGCCGGGGATTTAGCTCAGTGGTTCCGGCACCTGCCTCGAAAGCACAAGGTCCCGAGTTCAATCCCCGGTACCAAAAAAAAAAAATAGGAAATAAGAGGCTGAGGATATAATTTGCCTAGCATGCCAAGGTCTGGGACTGATCCCCAAGGCAACAAAACAAAACAAGAAACAACTGAAAATAACAAATATTGGTGGAAACATAAAGAAACTATGTACTATTAGCAGGAATGATAAAATGGTATCACCATTATGGAAAACAATATGATGTATCTTCAAAAAATAAAAAATTTGAATTATTATATGGTCCAGTAATTTTATTTTCTAGAATTGAAAGCAGGGTCTTGAAGAGATATTTGTGTATCTAAGTTAATAGTGGCATTATTCAAAATAGACGAAAGGTGCTGTCACAGATGACAGATGTATCACAATGGAATATTATCCAATCCTAAAAAGGAAGAAAATTCTGATACTTGCTACAACATGAATAAACCTCAAAGGACATTATGCTATGTGACATAAGCTAGACACAAAAGGACAAATGATGCAATATTCCACCTGTATGAAGTGCCATACAGAAAGTAAATAAAAGGGTGGTTACTAGGGAATGGGAAGGAAAAAAAGTTTTTAATGGGTATAGCTTCAGTTTTGTAAGATTGAAAGTACCAGAAATGGATGGTGGTGACAGCTGCACAATATGAATGTGCTTAATACAAGTAACTGAACACTGAAAAATAGTTAAGGCAGTAAATTTTATGTTATATATCACAATTAAAATTGCTCCTTGGGGGGCCGGGGATTTAGCTCAGTGGTTTCCCCGCATGCTGCACAACCGCAAGGACCTGAGTTCGATCCCCGGTACCAAAAAAAAAGTTATCACCCAAAATTGCTCCTTGGCCTTTTGGCTAAGATTAAGTATACTACAATTAAATATTGTTTCAAAAATTAAGTGGGTTAATAAATTTGTGGGTTTTTATTTTGTTTTATGGCACTGACAATGGAACCCCAGGCCTTAACACTGAGCTATATCCCAATCCGTATTTTATTTTTTATTCTGAGACAAGGTCTCATTAAATCACTAAGTTGCCCAGTCAGGACTTCAGCTTGTGATCCTCCTGCCTAAGCCTACCAGAATACTGGGATTTCAAATCCTAGAATGCTGTGATTACAGATATGTACCATTCCAGGCTTTGTGGTTTGTCTTTTTTTTTTTTTTTCCTTAAAGAATCTTTCTCTCTTAGTGCTAAGTTCTAAAATATTTACAGATGAAATGGTATGTCTAGAACTTGCTTCAGAATAGCAGATACAAAATCAACTGGCAAAATTACTTATGGTGAATGACAGACGGTGGTTCATTAAATGTTTGAAATTCTCCACACTAAAACATTAACCAAATGGAACTTTTCATAACAAGTGTCTATTCTAAGGTTCAAGAAGCTAAACAAATCCTAAAATGGATAGATAAATAAATAAATAAATCTACTGCTTGGGGGTGGTGGTGTACACCTGTAATCCCAGCACTTTGGAGGCTGAAGCAGGAGGACTGGCAGGAGTTCAAGACCAATCTGAGCTCCATACTGACCTGCTAAGTACACTGTAACAAAACTCCAAAAACATCATTGCAGCCTGGTGTAGTGGCACATACTCCTAATCCCAGCAGGAGGATCACTTCGAGTTTGAGGTCATCTTGGACTACTATGTGGTGAGACCCTGTCTCAAAAACAAACAGGGCTGGGGATTTAGCTCAGTGGAGCTGCCCTTGCCTTGAAAAGTCTAAGGGCCTGAGTTCGATCCCCGGTATGGCAAGAGAAAAAGAAAAACAGAACAGAACAAAACAAAAAAACAGGGCCCGGGGATTTAGCTCAGTGGTTCCGGCACCTGCCTCAAAAGTGCAAGGTCCTGAGTTCGATCCCTAGTACCAAAAAAAAACCCCCCAAAAACAAAAAAACACCATTGCAAAAAAGAGAAGTCTTATATCATCTGGGGCAAGGACGGTGAGGGAAGGCATAACCATACTCAATCATCAAGTCCTGCCTTCCCCCGATGTGAAGCCTCTCCCCTGAAGAGGGAACCCTGCATCAGCAAGGCTGATCCTCCAGAAGAGGGGCAAGGAGGAAATTCTGAGCACTGGGACAAAGGTCTTGCCCCTCACCCCAGAGCCTTCTCCTTGCTACACATGGGAGTCAAATGGGGACCTGCTTGCTCAGAGTATCATTCAATTACTCCAATTTTCCTAGCCTCTCAAGACAAGCATCCAGAGAGAGACTCGGGCACTGACCCCTCCAACCACCAAACATGACTCAAGGCGCCACCTGTGTTGAGTTTGCCAGGCCTAAGCTCTTTACACCCTTTAGCCCTGTTTAAGAGTCAGTCACTAAAGAAGCTATATTCCTCACCATCACCTCCACTTCCCTTGTATAATCCCTACATAGCTTTGTGCATCCAGTACTCTGTCCCTAATCTTATCTTTCTTCAACTCCTGAAACCACTGTACCTTACTACACCCTTGGAACTGAAAGACAAGCAAAACCTACACCCTCAACATTTGCTCACAGTGCTTTTCCCCTTTCTAACAGAACCTTCCCTCAGCCCCAAGAACAATGCAGCCCTGCAGCTCTCTCAAATGATAGTGGTTTTTCTACTCCCAACACCACATCTGGGCCTGGACATATGGCAGGTGTCTTTCATGCTGCTCACTGCCAAATCTAGAACACTTACCAACCCTCCCTTTCACCTAAAACCCCCAGTTCTGAATCCCACGGACCATTATCACCCGCTTCTCTCAGTGATGATGTCATCTACTATCCCTAACCCATTTCCTCTCATTTCTTGCCCATTTTCCTCCTAGCTCATTACTCTTTCCAAGATAACTCTTGGTGATTTCAATAACATACAGGCTGCCTTTCCAATTCTGGCCTCTCTATTCTCTTAGTTTCTCTCTTCCATTGATATGTCTTCCCATCACCTCACACCCTTGGCTACAACAGACCTTTTCATTTCCAGTAACTGCAAACCTACTACACTATAATCTCCATTTCAAGGAACCTTCTTTCTACCCATCATTCTTTCCAGCTCACATTTTATCCCAACTACAATGATCCTTATTCCAGCAAGCCAATCTTTGATCCTACTACCTTTGCTCAAGTCCCTCACCCTCTCAATACCCCGTCCTGTCTCACTCAACTTCCATAGTCAAGCACGATCACTCCCTTGCACACACACTGAAACCCATGTTCCATTGTGTTGCACACTCCTGGCAAGCCAACAACCAGCACCAACAGATGAATGAGGCTGGAAAAAAGCAACTGACCCCCGCCCTTCCTGGTAATGGGGACTGAACTCAGGACCTTGCACTTGCCAGGAAGGCATGGTACCACTGAGCTATATCCCCAGCCCTCTGACTGGTCTTAAGATAGACGATTCCAAGCCTCCTAAGGGTGCTCAACAATCACCCTATGCTCCCATATCCATTCACTGTCTCAGATGAATGCTCCACTCCTTTCTCCTCAATCTCCAACACATTCTTGCCTATCCTCTCCTTACACAGTCAGAAGAGCTCTTTCCCTATTTGTCCACCTATCAGTACCTACACCCATACTCTATCCTCCCTTCCTGGGACCCTAAGTGAAATATTTGTGCTATCAAAAGTTAATCCCTAAATCTTGGAGCTTGATCCCATGCTCTCTTATCAAGAATATCACTCCAGGGCCAGGGATTTAGCTCAGTGGTTCCACCTGCCTGCCTCGCAAGTGCAAGGTCCCGAGTCTTCCTACATATCTATGCCCCATTATCACTTCTATCAACATAGGTACATGCTCTTCTCTAGACACCATTTTCTACCCCATGAAATGTTAGCTTCCACTCCATTTCTTCACTGTTCTTTGCAGTAAAACTCCTCAAAAGTTTTTTTGTTTGTTTTTTGGTACCAGGGATCGAACTCGGGTCCTTGCGCTTGCGCAGCAGGCGGCGAAACCACTGAGCTAAATCCCCGGCTTCCTCAAAAGTTTTAACATCGATTCCCCATTCCTTTCTTTCTATCTTCTCCTGAAACCCTCTAATCAGGTTTTACCCTTTGCTGTACCTGCTGGTGCTGACCTATATCCCGCCACTCTAGGAGGCTGAGGCAGGAAGATCACTAGTAAGACTCTCAAAATATAAAATAAAAGAAATGGGGATTTAGCTCAGTGGCACTGTGCCTGCCTCGCAAGCGCAAGGTCCTGAGTTTGATCCCCAGTACCAAAAAAACTCACCAAAAATAAATAAATAAAAATGTCTGGGAATGTAGCTCTGTGTGAAAGCCTTAAATTTAATCTCTAGTACCCAAAAGAAAACAACAATAATAACAACAATAAACTAGAATAGAGGACACAGAAATACATATATGACCCACTGATTTTTGACAAAGGAGCAAAAAGCAGTCCAAAGAAGTAAAAATGATGCTGAAGCAAATACACATTCACAGACCATTCACAGACCAAAAACTGGACTTCAACATAAGTCTCACATCGTATACTGTATTTAATAAACTGAAAACAGACCATGGACTGAGATGTTCAAAATCATTAGCCATTAGAGAAATGTAAATTAAAATCATAATGCTTTATCACTACACACCTAGCAGCTGGCTAAAATAAAAAATAGTAACACAAAATTATGGTGAAAATACAGAGAAACTGGATCATTCATACATTGGTAGTAGGAATGTAAAATGGTATAGCCACTGCTATGGACTAAATGGTGACCTCCAAAATTAATACGCTAAAGTATCCAAACCCCAGTACCCTAGAATGTAATCATTTTTGGAGACAAGGTCTGTAAAGATGTGATTAAGTTACAGTGAGGGTGGATCCCTGATCCAATACCACCAGTGTCATTGTAAGAAGAGACAAGGGGAGAGCCTATGAACAGAGAGGGACATGAAGACATCACAAGAAGGCAGCCAAAAAAAAGATAGCAGCCAACTGCATACAAAAGAGAAAGGTCTCAAAAGAACCAAACCTACTGACATCTAGCCTCGGACCTGTCTTCCAGAACTACCCAGACTACTACAAATTCAGCCATACACCAAATTTCTTAAAATTTAAATCTGCAGCTACTATACAATTCAGCCACTGAACTCCTAGGCATTTAACCCAGAGGAACAGCATGTTCACACAACAGCTTGTGCACAAATGTTTAAGCAGGTGTAAAGCCCCAACCTAGAAACAACCTAGATATTCCTTAATGGACACATAGTTAAATCTGGACCACTGAATCCCATTCAGTAATAAAAATGAATGAACTGGGCTGGGGAGTTAGCTCAGTGGTTCCGCCGCCTGCCTCGCAAGCGCAAGGTCCCAAGTTCAATCCCCGGTACCAAAAAAAAGAAAGAAAGAAAAAAATGAACGAACTACTGATCAGTGCAACAACCTGAAAAAAACTCCAAAGAAAAAATAAAATACAATTCCAAAGAATTTTGTTGACTGAAAAATATCCACTCCCAAATATTACATATAATGATTCATGTAACAAATCTAAAATGACAGAATTAGAGAAGTGAAAAATAGATGAAAAGCTTCCTGGAGCTAAAGAAGAATAAGGGTGGGAAAGAAATGGAGGTAGCTATAAAAAGACAACATGAGGGATCCCTGTAGTGATGATGGACATGTTCTGTATCTTGACTGTACCAGTAATAACATTCTGGTTGTGACACTGCACTATAGTTCTGTAAGATGTTACCACTGAAAGAAACAGGGTAGAGAACGTCTCTCTATATTATTTCTGACCAATTCAAATTTTTCAGATGTGAACTGCAATCACCTCAACATAAAAGGCTTAATTTAAGAAAACAAGCAAGAGGGCCCGGGATTTAGCTCAGTGGTTTCGATGCCTGCTGCGCAAGGGCAAGGACCTGAGTTCGATCCCCAGTACCAAAAAAGAAAAAGAAAACAAGCAAGAAAAACCTGAAACACCCAGTTTCTGGATGGAGAAAACACGCTTTAGCTATTACAGGAAGAGTCTCTAGATTTGGACCCAGTATCGAAACACCTCAATCTACTTGCCTCTTTCACTTTGACTGTTGAGCGGTGAGGACTTCGGCTTCTCTTACTCCGAGGAGATTTGCTTCTTCTCCCTGAGGACTTGTTTTTCTTTTTGGCCGGGGACCTATTCAGAGCGTGGTACACACAGGATTTTATCTCCATTTCCCTTCCCTCACATAAATTAGCTTTAAGTATCAGGTTGACTACTGAACAGAAACACAACTGTAAAGGTCTCTGTTGACCACTAAAAGTCGGGGGCTTCACTTTCCTAGCCCTGACTTCGCCCTTGAGTTTCAGACCCACATATAACTGTCTACTGAACCTTCTCACTCACTGGCACCATCACAAGTCACCCTTGCCTTTTCTTTCCCTCATAACCAACACCCCATTTCCCCCTAAAACCATATTCAATCCATGAGCACGTCTTGTGCTTCTACCTCCTCCTTATCCCACCTCCTTCTCATCACATTCCTCCTTTGAGTGAAGGGGCGAGATCCTGCCCGTTAGGCATTAGACACTTATAACCCCGCTATAACGCAAATGACAGGTTCTGAACTACACATCCTTTAGTGAGCCCCACCACCTCAGGATTAAGTACAAGCTGCAGCGCTCTTCTAGAGCATTCAAGGCCTGTTTCTGACATTGCCCCGTGCTCTTTTCTCAATAAGCTCTACCATCCCAGGCTGCTTCTTCCACTTACCGGCTGCCTCCTCGGGCTCGGCTGCTGCGGTGGCCAGGGCGGCCGGGCTCTCCAGCCGGCGGCGACGGGCTACAGCCAGAAAAGTCCGATCGACGGTGGGCGACAGGAGCGGGCTCTGGGCTGAGGCGCTCCTGCTTCACCACTACCGCCGCCGCTGGCATCGCCACGTCCCCGTCACGGTGCCTTCGCCGGCTCCCCCGCTCCCGCTCGCTCTTCACCTCCTTCATTCCGCGAGTTTAACCGAGCCAAACAAAAATGGACCGTTCCGCAGAGCTCGGTGAAGGAAATGACGAACTAGAGCCCTGATGGGCACTTCCGTCTCCGCTCTCCCAGCAGCCCTCACGATGGAGAAGGTGGATACGTGACGCCCTGATGGGCGGGGCCGTAGTAAATCCTGCTAGGAGGCCGGGGGCGGGCGGGTAGAGCGGTAGTTTTAAATTTGAAAAGCAAACTTCTACACCAGCTGCAATGGTGCATCCCTGTAATCCCAGCACTCGGGGGGCTGAGGCAGGAGGATCGCCATGAGTTTCGGGGCCAGCTTGGGCAACACAATAAATTTAAGGCCAGCGTGACCTACATAATGAAACCCTGTCTCACCCAAAACAAACACCACACGGAGATAGCCCAAGTGCCTGGCAGTAGGGAATTTTTTAGCCAATTAGTGGATTATATGCGCCCACTAGCAATGCTGTTTACAAACTATATTGCAAACGGAAAATCCGACTTTTTTGGGGGGAGGGGGGCCGGGGATTTAGCTCAGTGGTTCCAGCGCCTACCTCGAAAGCACAAAGTCCAGAGTTCGATCCCCAGTACCCCCCCCAAAAGCAATAATGCAATATATACAAAAAGGTGCTCAAACTGATTACTTGTAAGTGTGGAAGTAGTGAGACGGAAATGCAATCATTGGTAGTAACCACCGAAATTGGTTTTTTTTTTCATTTCTTTTTCAATTTTTTTTCCAGTAACAGAAATCAAACTCAGGATCTTGCGCTAGCCAGGCAGGAACGGTGCCGCTGAACAACATCCCCAGCCCTTGTTTTTTTTTTTTTCCACTTCTTGAACTTTATACTATGTTGTCATTTACACATTTATTATTTGTTTCTGAGACCCGTCTTGCTATGTGCCCCAGGCTGACCTCCAACTGACCTCCTGGCTCAGCACCTCGCTACCCTGGTCCCACCTCGTGCGTGCTGGGATTACAGGCTGCACAGCTGCCCGGGGTCCATTTACAATTAGTTGCTCATTATTTTCCTTATGTAAATTAATTTTATAGGTACACTTTAGATGTGCATATTGATAATTTCTACCTGTACATGATATATCTTGATTCTTTTTTTTCCATTATTTTCATGTTTATTTTGTGACTGTGCTGGGGCTTGCATTCAGGGCCTTCGGTACCAAGCCACATCCCACCACCCCCGTACTCTGCTTTTTTTTTTTTTTTTTTTTGCTACCGGGGATCGAACTCAGGACCTAGCGCTTACGAGGCAAGCGGCAGAACCACTGAGCTAAATCCCCAGCCCCGTACTCTGCTTATTTTGAGACCGGATCACGCAAAATTGTACAAGCTGGGTTCGAATATGTGATACTTCTGCCTCAGTCTCCCAGAGTGCTAAGGTTACACACATGTGCCACCATGTCCGGCTTCCACTTTATTTGTATTGTTTTTGTTTTTTGAGACGGGGCCTTGCTTTGTAGTTAAGGTGGCCTCCAACCCGCCGCAACCCTCCTGCCTCACCCTCCCTGTGCTGGGATTACAAGCTTGCGCCACCACGCTCAGCAGTACTAGTACATTTGTAAAAATATTTTTTAAACCCTTGGAATACTGGATGCCTTCCTCGAGAAGTTGGAAAATGACTTCTATTTTATAGGTGACAAAACTGGGGCTCAGCAGTGTTCTGCCTACCCCATTCAACGTGCCAACTAGGCGCAGACGCAGGGATTCGAACCCCTATTTTCCCTGCTTCCAAGAATAGGAGAGCGACCAATTAATTGATCCAGGAGCAGGCCTTAGGAAGCCAAGCAACGAAGTTTTTGGTGCAAGCTAAATAAAACGAAACCCAAGCGCTGCCAGCCCTACCCTTCTCCGAAGCCCCGCCCCAGCCAGGGGCTGGGAGAGAGGGTTTCCATGGTGACGACAAACAAGGCCAGGTTTAGAGGGGCAGCTACGGAGCTGTCGCCCCCACGGCGCCATGATTCCCCCTACCGACTCTCTGCTCAAGTATGACAGGCCGGTGTTAGTGAGCCGGAACACGGAGAAACGGAGCCCCAAGGTAAGGATTCGTCTCAAGGGACGGAGGAGCCCGGAAGCTCGAATGAGGAAACGCAGATCCCCGCGCAGAGGGTCAGAAATCCCAAAGGACAGCGACTGCCAGTAAAGGGAATTGGGACCAGGAAGGGGGAGAGTTTACTAAAAGCCCAGATGTCGTTCGTGTGTGACCCAGGCGGAGAGATTTAGGATGGGAAAGAAGTCACTCGGAGATGGATGGGGCTTGCTGTTTGTCATTCACGGTGTCCGGGTCCAAGATCAGGCAGAGATTTGCCTATCACTGGAGGGGGCAGAGCACAGGCCTGACCGCTCACGCCAGAAACATCCATTCAGGCATTGGGTTGGGACCAGAGATTCTTCATGGCTTCTTTCTGCTCTGAGACATTTCTGCTGAGAAGACAGATGGGAAAAACAGGCTGGGAATGGGAAGGATGTGCAGGAGGCCTGAAGCAATCCAGAGGCCCAGGATGTGTGGATTCATCTCTTGCCCTCACTTTCTTTCTCAGGCTCGGCCACTGAAAGTCAGCCCCCAGCAGCCTGGCCCCTCCAGTACAGTCCCACAGCCTCCCAAAGCCAAGCTCCCCTCAACTTCCTGTGTTCCAGACCCTACAAAGCAGGCAGAAGAAATCTTGAATGCCATCCTGCCCCCAAGGTAAAAAAGAATAAAAAATAGCCTGGGATTTAGCTCAGCGGTTTCGCCACCTGCTGTGCAAGCTCAAGGACCCTAGTTCAATCCCTGGTACAAAAAAAAACAAAAACAAAAATTGGTAGATTTCTACCAAAAAAAAAAAAAAAGAAATAGAAAAAATAAAAAATAAAAAAAATAAAGCAGGACTAGTGGCTGGGAGAAAACACAGGGTTTTGTAACCCAGAGCTAGGAACATGGGAAGGCATGACTTCCTCTAGTCCTGGCTGGAGTTTCCTCCCAGTTGCCCATAGCTCCTAGTTTTCATCTGTCTGAATCCTGGGAGGCTGTCAGCAAATTTTATTTCAATCTGCTTTCATTTCCTGAGTATTCTCAGCCGATCTCATGGCTTTAGATGCTGTCTGTATGCTGATGGCTCCCAAATGTGTATTTCCAGCACTCTCCTCTCCCCTGGACGCTAGTCTAGGCCATATGGTCCACTCCTTCCTCAGTATCTTCATCAAGATGTCCAACAGAACCCGAGTTCGATCCCCAGTACCAAAAAAACAACAACAAAAAATGTCCAACAGAGAGCTCAACCCCAATATGTCCAAACTAAGCCAGGGCCGGGAATTTAGCTCAGTGGTTCCACTGTCTGCCTCGCAAGCGCAAGGTCCCAAGTTGGATCCCCGGTATCAAACAAAAAAGAAAATGGAAACAAACTAAGCCACAGTCTCTTCCTCCTCCAACTCATTCCACTCTTCCTACTCGGGACTCAGGCTGCCTTTCCTGGCTGTTGGTGAGGCACATCATGTGTCCTCTCCTTTAACAAATTCTTTTGGCTCCACCTTCAAATTATCTCCCAAATCCAACCTCTCTTCACCACCTCTGCCACTGCCATCTCGCTCCTGTATCTGTCACCTGTACTCCTGCTGTGGCTTCCTGCCTGAAAACTTGCTTCCACTCTGCTCCTACAGTCTATGCGCCACACGGCTCCTTAACCCTTAATCATAAGTCAGATCATGCCAGTCTTCTACCAGGGGCCCTGTGATGGCTTCCCACCTTGACCAGATGGCCCAGGAAACATGGCATCATCCAGCTGTTATATCCCTGATCTGTTTTTTGTGGGTTTTTAAAATCTTTTTTAAAAAATTCTTTTATTGGTACATTTTAGATATACAATACATTTACATTTATCATTGGGTGCTTTTACCTGTATATAAGTATCTTGGTTCTTATTTTTTCCCCGATTACCTGTGCACCCTTCACCCCCTACACCCTTCCCTATTTATATAGATTTCGTTTCCTTTTTTTTTTTTCTCATAATTTTTCCTTTCCCTTCTTCCCTTTCCCCTTCCCCTCCCACCACCCCTGCACCTTTGGACCTTTTCCTATTTCAAATTATCAATTATTTGTTTTAATCATTTTAATCCTTATTTACACTTTCAGTTTCTCACACTAGAGAAACTATTTGGTATTTACACATGTGTGTCCTATTTATTTCACCTAAGAGTATGGCCTCAATATGCATCCATTTAGCTATGAATGGCTCTAGTTTCTCATTCTTTATGGCTGAGTAGTACCCCATTTTATAAAAAAACCCACATCTTTATCCAGTTTCCAGTTGATGGGCACTTGGGCTGTTTCCACGCTTTAGCTATTACAAACTGTGCTGCTATAAACATGGGTGCACATATATCGCTGTGGTATGATTCTTTTAATTCTTTGGGGAGGATCCCCAGCAGGGAAATAGCGGGGTCAAATGGTACCTCTAGTCCTAGTTCTTTGAGGTATCTCCATACTGATTTCCACAGTGGTTGCATCAGTCTACACTCCCACCAGCAATGGAGAAGGGTTCCTCTTTCCCCACACCCCCGCCAGCATTTGTTATTGGTTGATTTCTTGATAGCAGCCATTCTTTCTGGGGTGAGGACCCTGATCTATTTGTTGTTTTTTTGTTTTTTGAGACAGGGTCTTGCCATGTAGTCCAGTCTACCCTTGAACTCACTATGTAGCCCAGGCTGGCCCCAAACTCATGGCAGTCCTCCTGCCTCAACCTCCCAAGTGCTGAGACTACAGGCGTGCGCCACCATACCCAGCCCTATCCCTGCTCTTATTACTTGTTAGTTCCCTTCTTGTTCACTGTGCTAAAGCCACAGGACCCTCTTGTGGTTTCTGAAACACATCATCACTCACCCACTGCAGGCCCTGATCATTGTTGTTCTCACCACCAAGGATGCTCTTCCTCCAGTATTTCCTGGTCCCCTTCAATTCTTCACTCAGTTCTTCCTCAAGTGTCATTTCCTCCAGGAAGCCTTCCTGAAGAATCCTGTATAAAAGAACCTTCTTCCCCAACATGATCCCTTTACCCAGATTTTTTCTTCCGAAGCCACAGTTATCACAGACATGCCCTTTCAACTGTTTTTCTGTAATAAGTGGGCAGCATAGCTTTCCCAGCATCGGTACTGAGGATTCAACCCAGGCCCTTCACACTGAGCTACATCCTCAGCCCCTTTCATGTTCTATTTTGGTACTGGAGATCGAACTCGGGACCTTGTGCTTGCAAGGCAGGTGGCGGCGCCACTGAGCTAAATCTCCGCCCCCTCAGGTTTTATTTTGAGACAGGATCTTACTAAATTGTCCAGGCTGGCCTGGAACTTGTGATCCTTCTGCCTCAGCCTTCTAGAGTGCTGGAATTATAGGCACGTACCATCATGCCCAGCTGGCAGTTTTTGAAGGCTGTGATGAAAAGGGGAAACAGGCAGAAAGAAACTGGGATCTCCTCTGAGATGGAGGTCAGGGGAGGGGGTGATCTGTCAATTGGTTCCTTCCCACCAATGTCACAGAAGTTTTCCACTCCATGGAGGTTCTGACCTCAAACTCAACGTTGTCATTCCAGGGCCTGCTGTGCCTCCAACACAGGGTTCATGATGAGGAGCCCACACAAGCACCCCCCTTCAAGAACCTCCCCACCCCAACACACGTATTGGCCTTTTTCTGTTTTAAATAGGGTCCATGGTGCCCTGTATCTCTGCCCCACAAACCAGTGGGGAACTCCCACTGGGCCTTCTGTTCACATCAAGCAAAACGACCACATATCTGTTAGGAGGACCCTTAGAGTGGAGATCGCCCACCTATCCATCCCTGAAGTAGGGTCTCTATGGAGGCATGTGGTGGGCATGGCTTTGGAACCCACACTTCAAGGAAAAGGCGGGGGGGGATTCTGGGAGGTGGGTGGCACAGCTACCTCTCACTCCTGTTCAGGCTTGGAGCTCAGAGGGCCTTCTCAAGCCCAGGGTTCCATTCAGCCTGGCTGTGTCTATGCTGCAGGGAGTGGGTAGAAGACACACAGCTATGGATCCAGCAGGTGTCCAGCACCCCCAGCACGAGAATGGACGTGGTGCACCTCCAGGAGCAGCTGGACCTGAAGCTGCAGCAGCGGCAGGCCAGGGAGACGGGCATCTGCCCTGTGCGCAGGGAGCTCTACTCACAGTGTTTTGGTGAGTGGGCCACATGGAGGTGGGCACCATACGCCCTCTGGACTCCTTGCCTACCCCTTCAGCACAGATCCAAGTCCTGAGCACCACTGAACTGAAGCCCACCCCATTCTGAAATCATCTCCTGTCCTTTCACCTGACCCACCCAGTTACTATGCACCCTCACCCCTTCCAGCCCTGTCTCTCCCACCGGTCCCCCACTAGCCACTTACTGTGTTCCTGAAAACCTGAGATCCTTATCTCTTGGTAGATGTTTGAAGTAAGATAAGAATTTTCAAGTCTTTGTTTCTTTCAAAGATATCATTTTTTTGTTTGTTTGCTTTTTGGTACCAGATCGAACTCAGGACCCTGTGCTTGCGAGGCAGGCAGTGGAACCACTGAGCCAAACCCCCGGCCCACAAAGATATCATTTTATAATAAGCATTAACTAATTTTTTAAATCAGAAAATTAATGTTCTATATTTGTACCCATCCATCAACATTCAGCCCTTGGTCTAGAAAAATACTAGAGTGATTTGCGGTTAGTTGACAGACACAAGGCATTTAAGATCTGCCTCCTTGAGTGCTGGTGTCAAATGGCTGTCCCCTAGACCTGTTTTGCTGGCCTCTGGGACCCTAATCTGCAAACCCCCTCCAAACTCAGGCTCCCCTCAATCTCAGTATGATTGGGTTTGCCCTCCAAGTTGGTATTTATGGAGGAGAGCAAGCTCTAGATCCTGCTGCTCCCAGCCCCAAATCAGTCCAACCAAAAAAGCCACTTTAACTGAAAGGGTCAGATTTCTTTACTAGTGCCCAGATTCTGCCTGAGGACAGAAGGGAAGGGACCCACTGCTGCAAACAACTTGCAGCTCTAGCCTCCCTGTGCCACAGCCAACCCACATTTACTGACTGCATGCCACTCCCAAGTGCTACCTTCAGGAAGGTGGCTGCATAGCCCAGCTCCTTGGTCCACAGAAGGCAACTTCCCCAGAGCCTTCCCTGGGGCCATGTCTCCAAGTAAGAGCACACCCTAGATCCCTTCCCAAGAGGAAGGGTGGTTTGCCATAGACAAAGTGCATGTCCCCTTGCCTCTTCCTTCTCTGATCCTGTGGTGTGCATATCGGAAGATGAGCTGATCCGGGAGGTCACCATCAACTGTGCAGAGAGGGGGCTGCTGCTGCTGCGTGTCCGGGATGAGATCCGTATGACCATCGCTGCCTACCAGACTTTGTACGAGAGCAGTGTGGCATTTGGCATGAGGAAGGCCCTGCAGGCTGAACAGGGCAAGTCAGACATGGAGAGAAAAGTGAGTGGGATTTTCCAGGACCCTTTGGCCCTCTGAGGCTCTTCTGTCAATCTCCGGGCCACATACTTGTCACTGCAGCACTGAATTCTGCTCCCAAGAGTTCCCTTCTTACATTTGCGGCCCTGGCCCTGCACTACCCCGGGGGCCCGGAGGTTACTGATGGTCAGTCTGGTAGTCTTGGCGTAGTTGTCCCCTAAGGCAGCTCCATGCCAGTCACTGGCCTCCCACTGGGTGGCAGTACAAACCCTGGCAATGTCTGGTTGGACAGCTGTTTCCCAAGTCCCCCCACACCACCCGTCCACTGGGTGATATCCCAGGATGACAGAGCATTGTGCCCTCAGATTGCAGATTTGGAGACAGAAAAGAAAGATTTAGAGAGGCAAGTGAATGAGCAGAAGGCAAAATGTGAGGCCACTGAAAAGAGGGAGACCGAGAGGCGACAGGTGGAGGAGAAGAAGCACAATGAGGAGATTCAGTTCCTAAAACGGACAAATCAGCAGTTGAAGGTAATGGAGGTGCAGGCCCTGTGCCCTCGCCCCAACTTCACAGGCCAGACTGTTCATTCCTGCTAGCTTTTTTTGTTTTTTGCTTAAATTCTTTTATTGGTACATTTTAGGTATACAATACGTTTACATTTATCACCCACTGCTAGCTTTTGAATGTTGGTCCACACGCACTGCCCAGGGGTAAAGGAGGCTTTGGGAGCAGGTGAAGGTTCATCACCAGGTTCTCCATCCCTCTACCTCTGGGGTGTGGACCTGTTCTTGACTCTGATGCTCCATGATACCTCAGCCTGTGAAAGACCTTCACCCCCGGAAGTTGCCTGTCCACAGTAAGAGAATATTGCAGAAAGTGGAGCTGCTTTTCCCTCAGAGCTGGTCTTTGGACTTTCTCCATGGGCAGGGTCTTCTTTGCAGGCTTTGGTGGAAGTGCTCTCTCCTCACATCCACTGAGCTACTGTGTCTGGGGCAGTCAGTGGGCAGGCAACGAAGGCCATGAGGGGAAGGACTTGAAACTGGAGACTTCCTCCAGTGTGTGGTCAGAAGGACCCAGCAGCTAGTGGTTTTCTGTGGAGCCCAGTTGCTGGTGGCATGCTTTTGTCCACCTGAGGTAGAAGGAGGGAGGAGCTGAGGACAAAAAAGGCTGTATGGGCAGGAGGCCAGGCCACAGGCCTTTGTAACTCTATGCTGTCAGGCCAAAGGTTCACAAAGGTCAGGGCGAAGACCAGCATCATCCTTATCAAGGGCAGCTTTTAGAAATACATTATTGAGCCAGGTGTGGTGGCGCATGCCTGTAATCCCAGCACTTGGGAGGCTGAGGTAGGAGGATTGCTGTGAGTTCGAGGCCAGCCTGGGCTACATACATACATCTCGCTACTACATAGCGAGACTCTGTCTCAAAAACAAAACAAAAAAACACATTGTTGAAGCCAAGTGAGGCGAGGCACACATGTAATCCCAGCATTCAAGAGGGTGAGTCAAGAGGACCCCAAGTTTGAAGACAGCCTGGACTATATAGTGAGGCCTTATAAGAAATTATTGGCCCATCCCAAATCTACTGAACAGAAACTGTGTAGTTGGCATCTTGCAATCCATCTTTTATGTATTTATTTTTGCAATACTGGGGATTGGACCAAGGGCCTTCACACTCCGCAGTCCATCTTGACAAAGTCTCAGGAGATGCTGGGGCTTGCTGAGGTTTGAGACTCGCCCTTCTACATGTATGGCCTATGGACGTTGTGCAGCTTTCTCCCATCGCCCTGGCCCAATGCCTAGTCTTAGAGCAACATTCCATCCTTGAGATTGGCAGGCATGGTGGCTCTGCACACCAAAGAGGCCATCCGTTTGCGATAAAGGCTTTGTGTTAACCACCAGCAGAAATGACAGAGATTTTCTTGTTGATGAAGAGTTTAACAAAAACAAAAGTTAAGGGCCAGGGATTTAGCTCAGTGGTTCTGCCGCTTGCCTCGCAAGCACAAGGACCCAAGTTCGATCCCCAGTACTAAAAAACAAAACACACAAAAGTTAAAAGTTTTCAGGGGCTGGGGGTTTAGCTCAGTGGTTCCACTGCCTGCCTCACAGGTGGAAGGACCTGAGTTCGATCCCTGGTACAAAAAAAAAAAAAGTTTTCATAGCCAGACGTCTGCATTTACTTAGCCTCTGAAGCTGCTTCCCTACTACAGCCCTCTATCAGCCATATTCCTCAGCCATAAGTCTGGGTTCCTTGGTTCCCCCTACCACGTCAGCAGTAAGAGCAATCGCTTCGCGGCCTTTTGGCTAAGATCAAGTGTAGTAGTAAGAGCAAAACTGAGTACCTTAGCATCTTCCAGATGTTCAAAAGCAAACTTGTAATCCCCAAGGTGAAGGACTGTTTAGAAGTCAGGTATTTTTTATTGGTGCAAAGCAGCACTACAAATAAAGCTTCTTGCACTCCTCAGGATAGCTACTTACAGACCTGTCCACAGACCATGACAGTAAATTATCGTACTGGCTGCCAGAAAAGCACAGTAAATAACTCCCAAATGTCATAAGCTTTACTACAAGATGGACAGCTCCCTACTGGTAACAATTTTCTTTAATTGGGTGTCAAGATGTCTCAGTGGCTGATAATTTGCTGTTTCCCAAAGCTCTGGTCCCAGCAGCACTCTCAGGATTCTAACCCAGAGAGCCAAATGTTTAACTTTAACTTAGCAGACGTATTCAGACCTGAAGTCTGAGCAATGAAAAACCACTATTTCAACAACTTTTATTCAATTTCCCTTTCAACACTTTGTATTATACATTGAGCTATTATTGTATGGAAACCAGGAGAGCTCTGGTTTCTCATGTAGCAAGACTGTATGCCAAGCCAGAAATCAGCTAATACAGAAAATATGGAGTTGGGAATGAAAGAAAATAACACTTGGAGTGGCAGCATTTGGATTATTCTTCCAGGCTTTTATCACCTCTCAGCTATTTGTTAGGCTGGAAGCTTCAAGTATTAATGGAGTTTGTTTTTGTTTTTCAGGCCCAACTGGAAGGCATTATCGCACCAAAGAAGTGATAATTTCCATATGGGTCTCAATGAGTACTACCCGTAAGCCCTTTGTAATAAAAAGCTCGTTTCCTGAATGAACAAGCGAATCGCTCCCCTGATTACCACCTACATATTTGTCAGGAGTCACACTACGGCACCTAGTCTGGCAGCCAGGGTCCCGGCAGGACATTGGGAGGTGGTGTAACCCAGTCTTGTGTGTGCAGCTTCAGGTTCGTCTTGAAGATTGACAATTCACACCTTGAGATTTAGGAAGCCACTGGTTTCCCAACACTCCATACCATACGCTTCTGGCCAAAGAAGCTGTGTCTTTCAAATTTTTGCTTCAGTCTATTTCATACCTTAACTTGGGCTCCCCTGGCTTCAGACCTTTCATGTTCATCCATACTGAAATGCAATCTTTAGAAAATCTTCCTAGAGCTATGGTTTTACATTGTATCATCTTGTCCTTATCCAAGTCAAGTGGATCCCTTTCTCCTCAGATGCAGACTGCCTAGGTTAGGAAACCATGGCTCACAGTTAAACCATAGCTTTGGAGAAAGTAAATGCTTGCTTGCCAGGAGTACAAGTCCCAGTGTTCTCTGGAGCTGTCTGTAACTCAGCACCGCCCCCGCCCCACCGCCGACAACAGACATCATTTGTTCTTATTCTGCAGAAAATCAAACTGACTTCAAACCTGCCTAATTAGCTAAGTTTAATTAATAGCTAGAGAGGTAACCACATCTCACATGCAGTTCTAATTATCAATGATCAGTTACAGGCTACAGACTTGTAGACTCAGAAAACTGATTTAGCAACATAGTCTTTAACTCAGGGCGGACCAGGGTGGGCAACGGCAGCAAGCTGAGTCATGTCCACTATCAGTTGTTTCACAAGTACTATTCCTAAGAAGGCACTAACATTTCCATCTGTTTGGAATGCCTGGAATCCTCAGTATTCCTCAGAGGAGCGAGAAGGGACTCCTTCCGTGGCAGGGCTTTGATGTGACACTGGTCCTGGTCAAGGCTCCAGGCTGTTCTTCCAGAACTGTCCCAAAGAAAAGCTATGTTTCAAGTGAAACACCCCAGTACTTCATCTTAAACCAGAGGTTACAGCTTTGGGCAAGTGTCCTGGGGTGCCACCTTCATGGGAAAGAGCTGTTCCTTAGACCTGACAGTAAAACTCGTGTCCAGGTGGATCCCCTTAAACTCAGTGAGGGACAGAAGCTGCTAAAGCATTTCCTTATTTTTAAGCCTAGCCATGAACACTACTATCCTTGAAACACTCTTTTTTACAGTTCTGTCCCAAAGTGCTACTTTTCAGTACAAAAGAAATACCATTGTGTATTCTGCAGACTTTACTTCCCATTTCTGTCAATACACACACACACAAACACACACACACACACACACAACAGGGTTATACTGTGGAGGAACTAAAGGCCGATTCAAGTGTCTGAAGTGCCAGTGGACTTGGTCACACAACTCTTTAGGGCTGAGGAACTTTCTCTTTATTTTCACTAGCACTGGTGAATGGTTTCAGCTGTAAAACCTCAGAACAAACATATGGCCTCAGAAATGCCACCTGGGCACTAAGAAAATAAACACAATTTGTAATTGCACATTTTGGTATAATTTAATAAACAACTCTTTAGGTATTACTGCTTATGTCTGAATTTTGTTTGTTTGTGTTTTTGTCCTTCTGAGTCACTGGTCTTCTTTTTGTTCCGGTTCCTATTTTTCACATTGTGTGTTTCATAGTAGCGTACACCAACTTTTTTGGATTGCTGCTGCCGTGCTGCTCGCCTTCGCTATAGAAAACAGCAAGAAAAACAAAAACAAAGAAACAATCAAAAGCTGAAAGTCATAAAACAGGAGCCCATTTCTCACCTCTCCACTTCCTGTGCAGCCACCACAGATACTGAAGCAGAGCTAAGGGGGGAGGCTCCCTCAAGACACTTGTTTACTTCTCCATTATGACCGATGGGTGACTCAGTTACAGGTTCTCATCCAATGCGTGGTTCCTTTCTGTGATATTCCTGACAAACTTCCCCTCCCAAAAGGGCCTGCTTCAGCTCTGCACAGCTGTCACAAAGCTGTCCTTCACAGTGGACAGTGATCAACCCGCCTAGCTAGCCCTGCCACTCATGTATCATCGACCTGGAACCATACAAAACAACACAATCCTTCCAGATGATAGGCCACAGCTGAGAAGACAGTGACCAGGAATTTCTGAGTCTCAGACATGGACTTGAGGACTTCTATCCAGCAGGCCTCTTTTGATCCTAAATAAGTGGCCACCTCCAGGTCACTGAAGACTGAGCTTCCTGGGTTCAGCTTCCAGACCATCCTTGTTTCAGAAAGAGTGGGCCTTGAGAACCAGACTTCTCTCCACTTGCTATACCTGGGTCTTATCTAAGAAACGAAATACTTACTTCCTTAGATGTACGCATCCTTTGAGTTTTACTTGACTGTTCCTCTTCCCTTTGTGCCTTCCGCTTCCTTCCCTTTTTAGTACATGCTAGAGACAAACAGTAATAAAAACACTCGGGAAAAAATGAATTTTGTATCTAAAAGTTTGTCTGCAAGCTCTATGGAGGGAACAAGTTTGTCCAAAGGACAGGAAGGCCAGTATGGATGGAGTGAGTGAGGAAAGCATAGAGTAAAGCAGGATGAGGCTGGGAGGGCACCAAGCCAGACAGACCACACAGGCCACGGCAGGGATTGTACTTGTGTCACATAAACACCCTCTTGATGTGGAAACTGTCAGTCAGGAGTAAAAGTTAAAACATACGAAATGTCTCTGCCCCAATCTGTGCACTCATCCTTAGATTCTAAGGTCAGTAAGGTATCATTTTAAAGAAGATTCCTGAATCGCCAATTCAATCCTAACTAATATGCATAATGAAATGTAGGTAACACAGTCTGTGTGATAAGTAGTAAGTGGAAGCAGGGTAATCCACCAGATATGACAACGGTTCGTGAGGATGAAAACACCTGAGAAAAGCTGGAAATTAAAGTCAAGTCTCCTCAAATTCTGAAGATGCAAACCACATCTAAATGATTTAAGTAATTTATATTCACCTGTTTCATTTACTACTTCTTCTTTAGGTGTTTCTTTTTGTTCTTCAGACTTTGCAAAAACCTTTTCACTTAACCCCTTGGATATCCTGAAACAGAAAAAGCAAACAAGCAAAGTAATGAGGCTGTCTGTCCAGTATTACTCTCAACTGTACCAGTCGGGCTGACCTGGAGACCTGGCACACTCTCACAGACAGGCGCTCCACTCCCATTCAGTTACCACCAGGGGAAGGAGTCAAGAGCCAACAGTTTTTGTAGCTCCCTAAGCATTTCTAAAATACTGGATAATTAAGCTATTCATACTCCAGGTGTAGGAATATGACAAAATTTACAGATCACTTTTTTTTTTTTGAGACAGGGTCTGGCTCTGTAATTCAGGCTGGACTTGAACTCATGATGTAGCCTAGGCCAGGCTTGAACTCATGGCAATCCTCCTGCCTCAGCCTCCTGAGTGCTAGGAATACAGATATGAGTCACCATGCCCAGCTCTTACAGACTTTTAAAAAATAATAACCTGGTTTAAAAAAAAAACCCAAAAAACAAAAACTGCTCAGGCTGGGGAGGAGCTCAGTGGTAAGCACTTGCCTAGCATGCACAACCCCTTTCCACTATTCACAGCAAGTTTTAGGGAAAGGCACAAACTGCAATTTATAGGATGATGAGAGTATTACCTGACTGCCGAAAACTTTTTAGCCTTGGCTTTGTTTAAAAACTTCTGATATTTTGCAATCTTGTCATCCAGGGCTTTTATCACTGCTTTGGTGTCGTTTCCCACTTGCTCTTCTTGGGACTCCTGATAAGCCTCTTCCTTGACATCTGGTTGGTCCTGCTCCTGCTCCTCCTCAGAAGCAGAAAAGCTCTCCAGCTCTTCCTCGATGTCTGACACCTCTACAGGAACCAGGTCATCCTCAGAAAACTGGGGCACTACATTGATTTTGCCGAAGTTCTGTCGAACCCGTGCAAGGATCTGCTGCATTTCAGAGTTAGCATCACAGAGACGGTCCTCTTCTTCTTCTTTCTCAATGACAGATTCTGAAACTTCACCTATGGTCTCTGCAGTCTCTTCCAAGTTGTTCTGGGTTGTTTCGGTAGCATCTTCCAAAGATGAGGAAGGAGGAAGCTATTGAAGCCAAGAAAGAGTACGCAGGGAGAGAGAGAAATGGAATCAAGAAAGAAAAACTGAATGCTTGAACTCACACCTTGCTCTTGAATAGGCAGTCCTCTTCTCAGGACTAAGGCAAGGTAAAAAAAACTCCCACGCTGAGTCACAGCATCAATCTACTCGAAGCCAATGCACCCCAGACCCAGAAACCAGTACTACAAAGGATCACAGGACAGATCTGCAGTTGTAACAGGTGTGCCAATTAGGGTGTGTTTAACCAGTAACACCAAACAATCACTTAGTAAATGTAGGTAAGATTCCCTAGACCTCCCTGGAATATTACAAGGAATGGGGAGTTGCCAAGATAAGCACACAAACACAGAACAAACACTGTATGAAAGTGAATGCCAGGCTGAATGGTACTACAGAAAGGCGTGTGGAGGCATCTTGATGTAATACCAGCAGGGAAACTTCATGAGCAGAGCTCAAATGAGCACCGTGAGCTCAGGAACCCTACAATGACTGGCTGGTCCTACATGCTACGCTTTCCACTGGTGCTTCCCACATATATCATTTCACCCTTACAACCCAGCCTCACAAAAATGAAGTGATTTTTCCAAAGTCAAGAGTACTGAGCAAGCCGGATGTGGTATTGCACACCTGCGATCCCAGCACTCCAGAGGCAGAGGCAGAAGGATGGCGAATCTGAGGCCAGCCTGGGCTACACAGTGGGTTCAGGCCCAAGCCTAGACTACTTAGTGAGACTTTACCTCAAAAAACAAACAAACAATATAAATGAACAGGTAGGAGTGCTGAATAAAATGCTGAACAAGTCAGGAATTCATAAAATCCAGGAATTGTATATAAATTTGTAAATTTTTTCAGTAAAACAATTTTTAGTTTGCAGAGTCTCAAAAGATTTCTGCTTCATCAACCAGAACAGAAAGAGAGCAACTAAAACAGAGAAAAAAAGAGACTCATAGAGTAGGGGGACACAATAGTTTGTGGGTTTTTTTTTTCAAACATAAGGTCTCACTATATAGTTCAAACTGGCCTCAAAAATCAGTGATCCTCCAGCCTTAGCCTCCTGAGTGCAGAGATTGATTATAGGCATGCACCACCAGGCCTACCTAACAGTTCTTAAGAATCACCTGAATTATCTAAACTTAATGACTAGATGTAGAGGAAGGGCTGAAGGTAATCCCAGTGCTCCATGCAGGCTCACAAGAGAACAGTGATGCTGATCCAGAACAATGCTCGGGTCCAGTTAACTCAAAACTCTCAGAGGCTTCCTGACGCACCATCCTCCCCTTGTGCTCTATACCCCAGCCAGTCACTTCTCTTCAGCAGTGTGGACACAGTAAATGCACCCCATCTCAGGCGTTCCGCCTGGAATGTTCTCTTCCCCAGACACCCTCATGGCTCCTGCCTTGTATCATGGTCTCTGTAAAATGCCACTTCCTTAGAGGCCTTCCCTAACCACCTCACCTACATATGAAAGTACTTTCCTGCCTTCTTCAACCCTTTTTCCTGGTTTCACTTTCCTCAGAGTACACAATACTTCTTGACATTATAAACTTAGTGTATGCTATCTCCCTGATACAATATACATATTTAGTCTTTACTCCAGTTCCTAGCACAAACTCTTAAAACCCTTGAAATTTCTTAAGGTATTGGGGGTATCTTTAGTTTTTCAGTAGCCTCTCTTCATCACACCTAAGTTTAAGCTGAAGCAGTAAGCCGTGGACATAGTCCCTACATAGCTTCAGGATGAGGGGGGTGGTGGAGACTGAGCTCAATCAACAATGGTCACGGATTTAATCAATAGGGCTCACTGTGTGAAGCCTCCATAAAAACCTCTCCCTAATAGGGTCCAGGAGGTTTTTTTTTTGGTACTGGGAATTGAACTCGGGTCCTTGTGCTTTCAGGGGCAGGCGGCGGAACCACTAAATCCCCGGCCCCTAGGAGCTTTTTGACATTGAACACAGGAGGGAGGTAACAGAGGGCACGGAAGTTCTCTGCTTCCTTCCTGTATCTTGCCTAGGCACCTCTTCCATCCAGCTTTATCATTTGTAATAAAGTGGTAATCATAAATAAAGTACCTTCCTGAGTTCTGCGTTGGTTTAGCAAATTAATAAACCCCAGAACCCCTTAAACTGAATCTGTGGTTAGCTGGGCATAAGTGTGGGTTGCCTAGGAACCCATCTATCTGCACATGGCATCTGAAGTGGAGGCAGTCTTGGGGTACTGAGCCCTTAAACTCTGGGCTACTGAATTATTGGGACACCCAGCAGATGTTGGAGAAGTGCAGAAGTGGAGTGGAAAAACGCACATGCAGGGCTGGGGTAGCTCAGTGGTGCCATGCCTGCCTCAAAAGCCTAAGGCCCTGAGTTCGGTTCCCAGTACCAGAAAAAAAACAGCAACAAAAACAAAAAGCCACACATGTACACAGGAAAACAAGTGCAGCAGGGCAGGGCACTGTAGCACCTCCAGTTCCCAGGATGCCTAGCATGCAGGAGAGGTGCCACACATGGCTGAATGAATCTATCAGTCAATGACTAACAACAGAACAAAGGAGAGGAACTATTTTGCTTGGTGTGGTTTTAGCAGGGAGAGGGAAGAAAAACCAGGAGCTTCAGCCATGCTGATTTTGAAATGCTGGAGAAAATGTTCAAATGGCGTTATCTAGCTAAAGCTGCAACTCTGGAAACTATTTGCAAAGAAGAAACCAGGGCAATATGGGCCCAAACAGTATCAGGATAGAAGCAATACAAAGCCAACACTTTAAGAGACTTGGCTAAATTCTGAAAAAGGCCTCAGAGCCGGGGATTTAGCTCAGTGGTGCCGCCGCCTGCCTTGCAAGCAAAAGGTCCCGAGTTCGATCCCCAGTACCAAAAAAAAAAGGCCCCAGAAACAGGGAAACAAAGCACTATGGTTGAGCCTTGGGGCAGCCCACTGCCAGGATAAGGAAACAGGGCAGTGGAAAGCTGTTGGACCCAGATCAGAGGCCCCAAACCTAAGACTTCTTCCCTGAACATCATCAACTATATCATTCTCCTTTCTCACTTGAGCATGAACTACTTGAGGGGAAGGACTATTATTCACTCCTTTGGTCCTTGTGTCTGGCACGTGGCAAGTTCTAAAAAATGTTCAACAAATGAATCCTGGTGATGGCTCTGTTCTTTATATACAAGAAAAGACAGAGGTACCAGAAGATTCCTTACTCTTTCTTTTTCGCGGCACCGGGGGTCAAACTCAGGACCTTGCACTTGCGAGGCAGGCACGGCACCACTGAGCTAAATCCACAGCCCAATTCTTTTTTTCTTTTTTTAAAGACAAAGTCTTGCTATGTAGTCCAGGCTGGCCTTGAATTTGCAATCCTCCCAGCTCAGCCTACCAACCACCAGGATTATAAGTGTGCACCACCACATCCAGTCCAGGCCCACATTTAATGAGTCTTCTTTCCCAAGAGCCTATAAAAGCTATCTAAGCTTGGTCTTCTATGGAACTTCTACCTATTATTCTCTAATGCCATCCCCAACAAGGCCAATGCAGTGGCACTCTGGACTGAGAAACTGCACTTGAAATATCTACCTCAAAGCAATAAGATGCTCCACAGAAGGAGGCAACCAAAAAGTTGTACCCTATCAGGGTGGGTAACCTCACTTTCCAAGAGCTGAATGCACGAAATTCTTACCTGGGGGGTTGCAGGCGTCGCTGCATTGGGTGGTTTGACAAAGAAAGGGATCCGCCCCCGCTGCCAGTCATTAAGGACCATCTTGCCCACAGTCTGTAAGTCAGGCTCTCCACCCTGAAATGTCAGGGAAGATCCCCAATTAAATCCAAAGAACAAAAATCACCTCCCATTCTGGGGGCATTTTAGTTGTCCCAGTCATTCATTTCCACCTGCTTGACAAGCTTCATATGGCTCACGGGATGCATATAAAACAAATCCACAAAACACATACCCTAGGCCTGCAGTTAATACCAGTCCAAATTCTCACAGCCCCTGGCTCACCTTTAATAATTTCCCAGTGCGGAAAGCAAGCTTCTCAAGAAAGTCCTCAGCATTCTCCCATGAATCAATCTTGTATGTCTTACTGATATATTCTGGTTTTGCTCGTTCTAGGACAGCACCAATGTGGTCTTCAGGAGACTTAATTTTTTCAACTTGAACCTAGATGTTAATAGAAATCTCTCACTCACAAACTCTACTGTGGAAAAGGAGAAGTTCCCAGTGTTCTTTATAGCAAGAAATGGATTTCAACATCGTAAGATGAGTAGAGCTTGGAAGGAGCTGGTCTCCGAGGTGGCTAGACATGGTTGGTAGCAAGGAGCAGTGTTGAAAGCTGACCACAGCCACCCAGAACTCAGCTCTAATCCCAGCTCACCACAAACTTAATAGCTTCCGCAAGCAGTTTGCATTGGGAATGCTCCAGGCTACCCACTTGTAGAAATGGTTAAAAGCCTACCAATCCCAGTATAGAAGCATAATGGAATTGTTTCAGAAGGGAACAGAGGAATGTGGACAAGATGTATAGCCAGGAGCATGGTTAAGGTTAGGGGAGCCACTTAAATTTTCAGTCATGTTCAGAAACAAGTAAGGAAATAACCGTGTTCCAAAATGACTCAACCCATAAACCCACAAAGATGAATTACCACTAAACATAAACAGGCCCTGCTTGCCTCTGGATTCTGTGCGTAAACTACAAACTCTGTTGTGGGATGATACTGACCAGATATGCCCATGGTTCCACTAACTCCTCAGGCAGGCTGCAGTGGAAGGAAAGGCCGCTCTGCTCAACATCATGTTCCTAAAGTTTGGCTAGACAGGCTGACCCCAAATTGCCTTCTGAATGAGAAAAAAAGCTAAGGCTTCCGGGATTTCCTAAGAGCACTCCCCTCAAAAGTCAAACTGAGGCTATTAGGATGAAATACTCACAACTCCTTTCAGCACAATGTCTGTCTCTGAGTCCTCAGAGGGGTAAACCACACCTGGACAGTCAATGAGGAATATCCGACGCATCAAGGTAATATACTGCCAGACCTGTAGTCAGAAGAAAGTCAGGAACATCCTTCAGTCGAGAACATACCACAAGTTTACCTTCACAAATCCTACATGCTGCTAGATGAAGTGAGAAAAGAAGGGAGGAGTCAAAAAACAGCAAGCTGCGAAGTAATCAAGCTCTCCTCTAAGACACTTCCACTAAGTATAAACTATGTTTCTATAAACTAAGAGCCCAAAATTATGGTAGAGACAGGATTTGCATCTAGTATTGCACAATAATACTAAGTGAACCTTTCTCTGGGTTTAAAAAGTATTCCTGGAACACCATACTATTGGCCTTGGCACTAAGCAGAACCACGTTGTTCCCCAAATACTGTGTTCCAAGTTCTGTCCCTTAAATATGAGAATCTACCAAAGGTCGAGTTTTCCTTCTTAACCCATGCATCAAAATTCTTTGGGATAGTTTTGTTCATCAGTGTAAAACGTTGGAGTGACAATTTAAAACAGACTTAAATATGAATGGCATTAACTAAATCATGCAAAGCTATCTAGTGGTATATCCAAGTTGCAGAAAAGAACTGGTATATTCTAAATTATGATATGGAGAACTAAACTCCCAAGGGTGGTCTCCATTCAAGAGGAGCAGACAGAGGCTGTGTGGCTCAGTGGCAGAGGCTTGCCTAGTATGCAGAAGAACCTGGTTTCGATCCCCAGCACAAGAGGCGTGGTCTTTGTGTCCTAAAAAAAAATCACCCTCCATTGAAATAAAATGAACCAGGGGTCCCCAACTGCACCACAGGAAGTGAGGAGCAAGCAAAGCCTCATCTATGTTGACGGCTCATCCTCGTCACCCACAATACTGCCTCAGTGCTGCATGGGAGGGATCTAGGTTGCACACTCCTTTCAATCATCTTCAAATCTACCTCCCTACTCGTCACCTGCGGAAAAACTGTCTTTCATGAAATGTGTCCCCAGTGCCAGAAAGTTTGGAGACTTCTGAAATACAGAGAAGTAAAATCCCCCAAGCCAAATATACCTTTGTTTCACCTGCAATGGGGGCCACGTTGCAAACTTTCTTGGAACGCAATGTGTTGATCACAGAGCTCTTGCCAACATTTGGATAGCCGATGAAGCCAACGCTGATCTGTTTCTTGTCAGTGTGCAACTGTGCCGAGTGAGAACACATACCACATACATGCAGTCATGATAGCCCTAAGCCAAACAGGTGGTGCTTCTTTGCTAATATAAAGACTACAGTGCAAAACTGTTGATACAAGTTGATTTGAAGCCCAGACACAAACCAGCTACATAGCCTGAGTGAGCTGGATACTTATTAATAAGTCAGAAGGTGAGTCATTTCCTCACTCACCCATGTGAAATTACTCTCGAATGCTTTAAGGTTAACAGTGTGTAGGCCACAGACAGAGGAAAAAATAACTTGTTAATCATCAGTTTAGAACAACATCCTCCACTGATAAAATTTCTTCAGAGGTTGGGCACAGTAGCTAGCACATGCCTATAATCTCCCCAACACTTGAGAGGCTGAGGCCGGAGGATCACCATGATCTCAGAGTTGGGCCTGGGCTACACAGTGAGTAGTTCAAGGACAGCCTGAGCTATATAGCAAGCTGCTGTCTACCAAAAAAAAAAATTTCTCTTCAGGGAAGAGAACCTTAACAGATTCAGCACCTGATAATTCCATGACTCATCCCCTTCTTTTCTTTGCATAATACATTTAACGTTTTTATTGCCACAAACAACAAAAGGAAAAAAAGCACAAACACACAAAACCAAAGAACAAAATGAAACTGAGACATCAATACTAAATTCTATGGACAATAATGCCAAGGAATCACAAAAACCTTGGAACCGGTGGCAGATACCTTTAAGGACAGGCCTGAAAACAAAAGGACAGGCCTGAAAACAAAAGGACAGGCAGCAAGCCTGCTGAAGTAGCCTGCGTCTCAGCACAGACACACAACATCTCCACTGCAACAGCAGCCCGGGGCCTTAGGGTGTCATGATTTTTGAAAACGTACATGTACGAAAATTTTCTGGAAGGGATCCAGTTTTAGAAACAACATCAGCAAAAGGGAAGTATTCTCTGAGTCATTAAGTGAAAGTCTAAATATTAAACAATGGAACCCTCCAACTGTCAATTCCTCCAGAACTCCCAGAGCCCTGGCAGCAAGGTACATATAGCTCCAGAGCTAGAGATTCGAGGACATTTTCCTAGAAATATTTACAAGCCCAAGAAAAAAGATCTATCAGATAATCACATCTATAGGGGGTCTTCCAAAATATCTGGGTCCAGCCAGGTGTGGTGGCACATGCCTATAATCCCAACACTCAGGAGGCTAAGGCAGGAGGATTGCTGTGAGTTTGAGAACCTGTCTCAAAAAAAGAAAAAAGAAAAACAAAATCTGGGTCTCTATCCAATTTTCCTACAGAGAAATCTATCAGTCAATACACTCCAATGCAGAAAGCCAGATTCTTATTCTTCTTGAGACAGGGCCTTGCTATAGCCCAGGCTGGTCTTAAACTCAGGGGCACAGGTTATCCCTGCTTCAGCTTTCCAAGTAGCTGGGAATGTAATACCACCTTGCCCAACATGGTACTTTATTCTTAAATATGAACGGAGAACTAAGAACCAGACATTTGAGTGCAACTCTAGCAGAAAAGGTAAAAAAACAAACTTGGAGGTAACAATCAATGTATGGAGAAAGGAAAACTGTAAAACACCAGTATCATTATCATTCTGAGACAGAGAAGATACTGCATCCATGAAATAAGATGTATCAGGGGCTGGAAATCTGAGTTAAACATGAGCTCGCAAAAATTAAAACAGGCAAATATAGACTAGGTGGATGAGCAAGTCAAAAAAAGTGCCCAGAAAACAGAGCAAAGTATCATATATATATATATATATATA